ATATATATATAATATAAGTTTTCGGAGGTCTGTCAAAGATACAGAAGTTACTACAACACAGAAGGTATGGAAATTTATACACGTTGTCCATAATAGCACCAAGCAGTGCCTTTTAATACTTTGGTAGTCCAACAATTAATGTACACTGTATTTTAAAAAGATGTTTTTTGATCGTACCGACCATAAACAGTGGAGGAAATGGTACAAATGGAACAGCCGCCAGCCCAATGTCTCGCAAAGTCTCGAAGTCGTTCGCAGGATAGACAACAAATGCGTGTGTACAGCAAAAAACACAATAATGCAATTATTATTAATAAACTCAAACAAACGGTTTTAATACTAAATATTATAACCGTTTGTGTGTTATCACGTGTAAGGAGAAAAAAAAGGAACAGCGGATATTGCGAATTCTATTTTTGTTTTAAACCAAAACATGACCAGAGCTGAGCGAAGTTTAAACCAAAACGTGACTATAGTTCGGACAACACCAAATGGAGAACTTTTAGACCTCATAACACAGAAACTAAGAGGCGAATTCTCCTGATTTTTTGCATGTGCCTCTGAATTCCCCAAAAGCTAACTTTACTTTTACTTTTCCGATCCAGCGGCCATTTGGGTTCTAGCCCTTCGGTCTGTCGATATGGCAAAGAATTGACAGGTTTTAATCAGTTGTGCTTTGTCGCTGTATAGATTCTAGAGTGTTTCCGATCCCAAAAAGCTAAACAATCTTAATTTTAGTGCACATTCGACAAATATAAAGAGGTGTTTTCTATATAATCATTAGTATTTAATTACAGTCTGCGCAGGGATTTTTTATTAGACCAAGTACCGAAGTTAAGTGTAAGTTTTGTTTGTTTGTTTAAATCTAATTTAAAAAAACAACCTGGCTGCATGAGCCGCATGACTGAGTTGTTTTCAGTTCAGTGGTTAGTGGGTGACAGTGGGTTTATTTTGATTGACTCATTTTGATATACAATGAGTAAAATTTCTTTCATATCTTCCGTCATTGAGATCGCATGCGTTTCAATTTACTGTGGCTTTTTCATTAAATACCATGGTTACATTACTTAGTTTATAAACCCCCCAAAAACGTTGCCTCAAAACTACTGAACTATTTCTAAAAAAAGCCGATCGAGACCGTCTTTTATTCTATAACAACTCCCCAAAAAGGACAAGACATGTATGTGTATAAAGGGAGG